AACACAATAAACAAATTTTTAAAACACATTCAAATATTTTGTATTATATATTTATTGTTATTATTATTATTAATATTTTATTAAAATTATATACCTATATTACATTATTAGAAATACATTACATACATAGAAAAGTATGTTATGTTTATTATATTTTTTTGAAAAAATTATCAATACGACTATCAAATGCTTTAACGAGTTTTAACATTTGTATATGTTAATTGTAATTTGGATAATAGAGGGTTTGTATAACAGAGATTCGGATAATCGAGATTCTACTGTATTTAATATCGATTCAATATAATTTATTTTAGAACTCAATATAAATAAAATATTGACATTCTTAAACTATTTTTTGTACACATCGTTCTAAACACAGTGCTCGTCCTTTTAGATGTGCAAGCAAGTACCGCGTTAGAAATCACTCTTGTCTCAAACACAATAACAAAATAAAAGTAGTTAGTCTCCAATGCGTTAAAAGAACACTCAGTAATATAGACAGTATAATATTGTATAATAATTGAATAAATTGCCCTATTTTAAAACTTTTAAAAGTGTTATGTATAGGCATGAAGTAAATGTATTTCATTCTTTTTATAATTTAATATTTATAAAAAAATTTTTTTTAATAGGACCAGAATATTTGCATCATATGTGGGGCTATATTTGTCCTGAACTTTTACAAGCTATTGAATCTGAACCTGAACCAGATGTTAGTGCTGAGATGTATGATGCATTAGGAAAAGTAAATAATTTAAAATAATTAATATTTAATATATTTCAATTGTTATATTTATTTTTTTAAATGTAATTTTAAGTGCATCGAGTTATTGGGAACAGGAAGTTTATCAGATAAATGGATGAAAGATTTATTGCATACTTTGGAAAAAAATTTAAATTCTCATTTTGAAAATGAAAATCAACGTTTTGAAAGACGTAAAGATGAAGATTATGATGAGGTACAAATTGATGAGATTTTTCAGTTTTATTGTAAACTTTTAATGTAAACTATATTATTGTGTATATAATTAGGTTGTAGAGGAAAGACTTGCTTTGGAAGATACTGATGATGTCTACAAATTAAGCAAAATGACTGACATTCTTCATGCCCTTTTTGTCACTTTTAAAACAGATTTCTTTCAGTATTTTGATCTTATTGTACATCAATTTGCTAAATTATTGGTAATATTTTAATATGTCCATTTATTTAAATTTATATTTTTTTAAATATCATAATATTTATAGGATTCTGATAAAAGTGCATCTGATCATCAGTGGGGTCTTTGTGTCTTTGATGACCTTATTGAATTTTGTGGACCTGGTTGTGCTAAATATCAAGAATATTTCTTAAGACCTATGGTTGGATATGTTACCGATAGTAACAGTGAAGTTCGTCAGGCAGCTATTTATGGCTGTGGAGTGCTAGGCATGTGTGGAGGACCTAGTTTTGCTGGTGTGTGTGCTGAGATCATGCCATTCCTTCTACAGGTGATCAATAGCAGTGAAGCCCGATCTTCTGAAAACATAAGTGCAACTGAAAATGCTGTATCAGCCATTGCCAAAATATTAGAATATAACAGTTCAGCTGTTAATGTTAATGAAATATTACCTCTCTGGTAAAACAAACACAATAGTTCCATAACTTTTGTTTAAAATAATATTAATATATATTTTTAGGCTATGCAACTTACCAGTTTGTGAAGATACTGATGAAGCTCCTTTTGTATATGGTTACCTGTGTAAACTTATCGAAAATCACCATCCCTTGGTATTAGGACAAAACAATTCTAATATCCCTAGTTTAATAAGGATTATTGCTGAAGCATTTTTACGAGATGCAATTGACAGGTCACATACTGTAGCCCAGCGAATGATATTGATTGTTAAAGGAATACAGGTAATTGAAGTATTTTATTTTAACTATATAATATAATATTTATATGTATATCATTAAAATGGACTCTTGTATAAATTATATAAATATGTATTTTTATATTTATTACCGATTTGATTGTATTATTTAATGTAATTTTGCTAAAAAGTCTTAGATTCTTCTATTATTCTGTTATGTTTATCATATTAAATAATTTTTAATTATTTAAGCAGGCTTACTAATCAATTATTTTAGGTCTAAAAATATAAAACTTACTTAATTTAGAATATACAAAAGTTATTCAGAAAGTAAGGTTATACTTTTTAAAAATGTATACATTTTTATGTAATTTAACTAAATATTTAAACCACAGAGTTTAGTTTATATTAAGTTCTCTTTTATATATAAAAAAAAATATATTCAAGAATCTTACCATTTCAAGACACTTTGGTTTTGATTCAAGGAATACTATTTTTGTTTTAAAAACACTTGTTGTAAGAGTAGACAAATATCATATTATTTACTATAGCACATTCTATATTTCATGGTTTTGTCTGTCTGGATAATATATTATTAACCATTTTTTGGCAGTATTTGAGTTGAACACTGGTGAAAACAAGGTTCCCCTCCACTACTACTATTAGAACAGTTGCAAAATATGCAATATAAAGTTTAGCATTATCATGACCTTTGAAGGCCTATACTAAAAATCAGTATTTTTCTTCTGACTATTATATTTTTTTTGGAGTTAATTGAAGAGAAGAAATTTTCTGTAACTGACTGAGAAACTGGAAAAAGCTAAAAAAAACTCAAGGATTTGTTCTTATGATAAAAAATTGCCATTCACTCTTCAAAGTCTGAATCTTATACCTAAAGATAATCATTTTTTAATAAGCTAAGAAGTATTTAGGTGGACAACATTTTACAGACTATTAGTTGATAGTGACTAAAGGAGGTGGTATGTGAGTTTTTTTAACATGGGTAACAAAAATACCTAGTGTTTATCTGCCATCCCAACAAAAATGTATCATTTTAAAAAGTGATTATTTGGAAATATAACTTATCACTTATGGCACTTTCTAAATATTTCATGAGGATGTTTGTACTTTTCAATTTAAAATAAATGATGTCATCTTGTCTTTTGGAGAGTTGTTATACATAAATATTAGTTTATTATAGTAAATGTGATGATTGGTAATTTAATATTATACAATTCTAAATTATGTTTATTGTTGATACCAATGTGTTGTAAATATTTAATTTGTTCTAATTGTTTTGTTATTTATAATATGATTTTAGGGAAATCAAGAGGTATTTAATGCATGTTTAGCTGTATTGAATCCGGAACAGATGAAGACATTACAAAGTCTTCTAATGACTAATTGAGTTTGACATTTACCTGTTAATGTTTTATTTTTGTGACAAATTTGAATCTTTACTATAATCCCGCTTATATTATTTTTAATTTATATCATCACTTGTTGTTTTTGTTATATAGTAACAAAATTAAATAATTTTGAAGATGTATTAAAAATATGTAAAATATTAATACTCTAAAAAATTAAAATTAAATTAATGTTTTAAACTTATAAACATTGCATAATTTAAATTGATATGTACTACAACTTTTGTAATATACATTTTTTTTTTTAAATCTTATTTTATGTCTTATATGTCAGATATCATTGATGATATTTTATACTCACAATTTTATTTTATTTGTAAAATAATATTTACTGTATTTAACTATCAATTAATAATTACAAATTGTTTTATGTCAAATTAGAAAACAAAAGTGTACACTAAATTATTATTTTGCCCTCAGATTTAGTAACATGTTACATTATTGTTATTATTAAGTTTTTATCAAAATGTATATTTACAATAGAAAAAAATCTTGTAGTAACTGATTTTTTGTGCATTATTAAATAAATGACCATATTATATTTTTTTGTAGAAATCAGAAAATTACTTTCAGTCTAATTTATTTATGTAATGTTAGGGATATTTAAAAATGTGAATCATAAAAAAAACAGCTTATCTTACTTAATTAATGCTTGCTATGATTTAATTAAATTACACATTATTATTATCATAGAGTTTACAAATATTCTCAAGAGTGAATTACTTGCAATATTAATGCATTTCCATTACTATTTTTTTTATTTATAGATATTAGTATTAAATGCAGCATTGATAATGTTAACGAATATACAATTGTATAATTCATAATATGTGAAACATATTAATGGCAAAATTATGATCATGTTTTATTAATAAATCACTAGAAATTACATCGGTGATTTTGTCAATTTCCAGCAAAAAAATTTGATGATTTTTAAAAATTAGGTTCCTTATAAGTTCTTACCTATTGAAATGAATAGATATCAATAATAGGTACATGAATAATATTTTTTTCAATGTATTTTGTGTTAAAATTTGACGGAATTGATTAAAAGTTATTTTGTTGTACCTAATTCAAAAATATATGTTTGGTTTTGATTTTTTTTTGCTATTTCGTATTCTATTATTAATTGTATGCAATGATGTTTTAAAATATTTAAGTCAACTTGAGTAAATTATACCATTTACCTATTTATGCTATTTACTTGCAGTGTCAGTATTGACTTCTTCACGTAATTAGTTTCTAGGAGCACTTAGACCATCTCGACTTAAAAATCAATCCTTGTCGGTTGCACGATTCTTTTAATTATCTAAGGTTCTCTACCTAACCGTGTTTTTCCATCCCATATTTAATTAAACAAAATATGTGACTTTTTTTGGCAAAAATTAGTTCAGTTATTAAATTTAAAATAGAAAAATAAATTGTTAATAACAATAAAGATAATATATTTAAGTAAAATATCCTTACTTATAGGCTATAAAGTATAAGTACACCTGGGCTGATAAATTATATCATCTTTCAGAATCATTTTTCTATGGAGGTAGATCATCTTAATTTATTTTTACAAATTATTTTTGGTGTGAAATTAGAATAGATGGTAGTACCTATCTATATTATATAGTTACTAGATATTTGGTATTTTACGTTGGGTTATTTTACTTATAGATTTTTTTGTAAAGTAATATCTTCAATGTATGGAGTTAAAGAAAATGACATTACTTCAATTAATTGGATGGAAGGTGCTACATTACCTTGTACCTATATGGATTTACCTATGATGATGCCATATTGTTTTAGTCATTACGCAAACAAAACAAAAAACGAATCACAGTTGGGATGGAAAAATATTCAACGGCATATCCATAAAGTAGATGCAAGTTCGTTGATTGGAAAAAGTATTGTAAACTATGCATATAAATTATAAACCTAAAATGGGATTATTAACTTGTCCTTGGTCACACGTGTGGCCTTATCATTATACTAATTTCAAATTTCCACATGTGGAGATGGAAAACGCGTATATGACCATGCAAAATTTAAATTCGGATCAAATAATGTTGGAGAGTTTGTCTTCGTACCAAGGAAAACACTTAGGTGTTCCCAACGCATAGCAATTAGCAGACGATGTCGAAGGAGTACCAGTGCAAGCCGTAACCGAAGAAGATCCACCAACACAAGAATGGTCACTCATCGAACATTCGTCGTATTAAATAATAAAAAACAATTACGTAATTATGTTATACAATTTATTAATAATCAATATTATATTTTTTAAATAAAGGTAATAGAAACAACGGATTTATTTTTTTATCGTATTGCCTAAGAAAATCAGCTGAAGTCCATCTGTGTAATTTAATGCGTGACCTAAATGCGTCCATTCCAAAGATTGGGAGGTTATCGTTTGTTAATATAATAATTGGGGGGCTTTCGCCTTGGTATTTTATGTGTACGCGAGTAGTGTTGCCGGCTAGTAATTCTTTTAATTTTTCTGTATGATTGGATTCGTAATTTGGTTCGTTCCACAGTACTAATCGTTTACCCGCTGCTTTTTGGAATGCGAACATGTTATTTTTATTAGCGGTACCTATGCTCCCATAGTTTATAAAAAAAGCTGCAACGGCATCAAAAAAATAATTTTTACCCGCATTGGGACTAGCGTGAATGGCCAAAGTGTTTAATTTAGGTACGCGTTTATCTATAACATTTAATAAATCCATTAAAAATTCATAAATATATTCACTTTGACCGTCAAATTGAAATTCTAATAATTTACTAGCGATATCTACAGACTGTGAAATGGAATAATAAACGTCGGATTGTATTTTATTATACGCATTAAAATACGGATGTACTTTGGGATCGTTATAATAGTTTTCAAAGTCTTTAAGTGTCCACCAATTAAGTTGGCAACACCAATTACGCAAATCTCGTTCAGCTGATTTACAATTATTGAAAATGTAGTTTACATTACTATTGTTGAAGAATTCCTTAATATTATAGAAAGCAGAAGGGGGACACGTAGGGTATTCGTACAATAGTTGAGATATCGTTAACGGCCCGTGCTCCGGCCGAACCTCCCTCTTTCTTTTTTTCGAAGTTTTGCCGTGTTGGACATTTGGATCTCTTGTGTACATTTTTTCACCATGACTTTCATTTGATCCACTATCGGGTTGTTCGCACTGAAAGTCATGCGAGTCCGTACTTCTGCGCCCGTCCAGTAATCCTGTTTGTCCCGATCTTCTACATCTTCTTTGCTATAAATTAACATAGGTTGTTACGATATTACTACAAGACATAATATTTTTAATTTGTTGTTCACTCAATAAAAAATAAGTGTTTTTAATTTGTGTGAAAAGTATGTCATTGTAAACTCTATCGTGTACGTATCCACACTTTTCACATATTTTATGATAATATTTATATTCGTTTAAATACGATAGTATATTATGTTCAAAATACCATTCGTCGCGTATGGTATACTCTTCGAAAAATATTAACGTTTTGCAGACATCGGATGCCACTTGTGCGCTACAATTTAATGCCAGTGCGACACATTTATGAAAATATGAACCCTCTATTCTAAGCGGCATATATGATATATAATAACGATCATCACTACGACATCGAATATTAGTTTTGTCTAGAGATGTAAGCTCGGTAAATTTTTACCGCGTAAATTTACCGGTAAGGTAAATTACCAGTAAATTACCAATTATTTTTTTACAGGTAAATATTATTTTACCGAAAATATTAGCATGTGACACCTTAAATTATACGTCTTAACGAGATGAATATTCTTAATATATTAATATAATGGAATAGTAGATGTAATATAATTTAAAACGTCAAACGTTCAACATGCTCACAACTACTGATAGTGTATTACACTATTACATTTACATAACATATTATCGTACCATCAATTATTATCGCTATTAATAGTACGGTTGTAGACACTAGACATTATATTTATTTACAGCCGTGCTATTAATAAATTTGATATTATTGACATCGGCACATCGCGGCCTATGGACTATGACAGTATCACTTGTTTTGTGGCTGTAGATACTACTAATTACTATCAACTTTTATTATTTAAAACTTATTGATTTTACATTTTCACATTAATTTGTTTAATAGTTTACTTTTTATTTAATTTGTGTCATTAAATATTAAAAAAGTTAAAATGAAGCCGCAAGAAATTAAAAAGAAGTATTTTATAGAAGTTGAAAACAAGCGTTATAAATGTGTATTTTGTAAACAAACATACAAAGAAAATGTGACAAGAATGGTGAAAGGAGTTCCTAAGGGTGTTCCTATGGCGACATACAAAAATTATCAAAATTTACCAAATTTACAGAATTTACGTAAATTTACGTAAATTTTTCTCGGTAAATTACCAAAAAAAAAATTTACGTAAATTTTACATCTCTAGTTTTGTCAATAGATTTTGAAATTTGCCGAAAAAGATTTAACCGAATATTGTTTATATTCAAAAATAATAACCGATGTTTTAATAATAACGAGTACTTGCCGATAAATGTTTATATCTATTAGATAATACAACATCCTGTGAGAATCCACCAGTTTCTTCGACGAATATAGAGCCTTCAGATAGGTATCGCAAAATATTGGCATAGTCTGTTGCCTCGAGGAATGCAGCTCTAGTAATTCGGCGAAGTCGACGCTTTCCAAATTGTGCCCAACTTTTACTCCGTTGCAACCAACTACATCTACAAGAGCCGTTTGCGCTTGGGCAGATGTGGGCGACGTGGATATGATTGACGTGACTGCTGATGATATACCAGTGTTGAGGTGGGTATCGTTCAATGAGCAGTTTAAGTTCTTGTACACAGTTATTAACTCCATCGCGTCCATTCGGCACAATAATTGTGCTGATGTAACGATGTAGTCCCGACACGTGTTTGCAATGTATTGTACGGGCATACTGTTGTACGGTGTCTTCAAACTCTTCCTCAAATGAATCAATATCTGAGTCATCTGATCCGCTGTCGGTAAATTCACTTCTTCCCAAATCGATTGAATGCGTCGGTGTAACCATTTTTTCGGATTTAAAAGAGTTTCTACGTGAGTCGGAAAAAATATTCCAATCAACAATAGAGCTGTTGCCGGATGCAGAGTCTGGTCTTCGTTGTGTGATTCCGACGTATCCCCGATCAACTCCATCAAAGCTATTAATTGATCCGGGTCGTTGATAATATCCTTCTTCAAATGTTTCGCAATGTACTCTGGAATTTGTGTTAATTTCGTCTGCATAAACACCTGGAATCTTTTTTCCTTCTTCTGTCTCTTGGTCTGAGCCGTCGTTGTCGGAGTGTTCGGTCGACGCCTCTTCGTCAAACCACCGGCGCAACTCTCCTCGGTTTCGGCCGACGTTGTCGGTTGATGGACTTGCGATGCTTCTATCAAATCCTACCATCTTTGTTTCCGTCTGCACTAAACATTCGTTGTCAGAATTAAACATTGTACGTTAATTGCTGTAAGTCTGCCTTGGGTGGGTCTTACTAGCGTTCAACGCAAATGTATACTGGTTTACTGTACTGCTCTATGGCCTTTATAGGTATACGCAATATTGTGTGCTTATCGACATTTGTTATTACACACATATATATATATATATTAATTAAAATAATCTATATAATGAAAAAAACAACGACGACGAAAATTTGGCCTTGTGTATTTATCTGTATTATTTTAAATGGTTAAATATTGCATAATATGCACAATTAAATATATATTACATTATTATTTATTTAATCACGTGTTAAGTTTATGTCCTAAATTTTTCTAAGTATAAAAATATAGTGAGGGTTGTGGGCTTTTACATGCTGGATGCTTGCTCAAATTAAATTGAAAATTTAATTTAACCGACGACGACTACAACGACAAACTGACCTTCAAACCGTCTGCCATCTAGTCATGGCCATGCCCTTCGGACGTACGTTTGTCAATTTTATCATCATGTCCCTTGGACCTTGGTTAGGACAAGATAACTTTCCAATGGAGCTATAATGGACCATACTAGTAGTTAAGTTATATTAAATACAATTTTATAAATCTCAAATAAATAATAAACCTGTTTAAAGTTAGGTTAGGTTAGTATTTTTGTGTTATGTTTACATAATATAGGTAAATGTGTACATAATATAATTAAGCTACCATATCATTTATAGTACCTACCACTTATATAAAGGTAATTTGTCGTGAGTTCGCAACCGTTGCCCTACGCGATTACAATAATGACTTATTATTTTATATTATTTAAATCTCGAGGGCTCCTAAATAGTACAAATTCTTACTTTTATATTGGGTAAATAAATACCTAATTGGTTAATCACTTAAGTATTTAAAATAACAGAACGAAATGGATTCTTTAAAACGTGCCTACACTGCCTACAGCCTATAAATTGTTTTTGTATGTGTTACACGTGTTACTGCATATTAGTAAGACGGAGATTTTACAATTACCTACCAATACTTACGACATCTAAAAAGATTTCACAGGTAAAAATTGTTGGTATATATAATAATTATTGTAATGTATTTGAGTACCTATTTGTTATACTTCTATTGTTAGATATATAAAAAACCTTAAAACACATTTTTTTTTAAAATTTAATTTTACAAATTTCTAGACCAAAACTCTTAAGTCCGTTTACACAATAAAATTGATACTTTTGTAAAACAAAATAAATTATTTATAATGCGATAGAGTAGGTACCTACATGTGGTTCGACGTTTTAAAAGATTGTGATGAAAATTCAATGAATTATTTATTTAATTTTAATTTGTGATATCACATAGGCACCTATTTTATGAGTGCATTTCTTGCAGTAAGTTAGTTAGTAGTAACAACAACTAAGATCTCTAAATATTGTGCGAAGGCTACATTCAACGTGAAAATAATAAATTATGACGGTAATGACTAATGAGTATTGACGACAATCTTTATTGTACGGCTGAAGTTTTTGTCCTATGCTAATAGTGCGCATGTACTTAAAGTATTATTATAGCAAACAAAACGCAAGTGGTTCAAATCATGTTTACTTTAAAACGTGCCGCCTACGGTCTACCCACATAGGCAATACATGACGAACGTAATATTGACAGTAAATAAATTAGATGTTTATCGGTAGTTTGAAAATTTTATTTGATCGGGGAAAGCCTAAAATATATTAGACATCCACCCACCTACCACTGTACAAAATTAATATTTTACCAAATAAAAAATCAGTTTGGTCGAGTTACTAGTGCTATAATGTATTAATTATATATTATTTACACATAATGCACAGATATTAAAACAAGAAGTTACACACTAAGATATTGTTATGTATTATTTATAAAAATAATATCATTTATTAAACAATACAAATATCATAACAAAATATTATGTTTAATAAATATACCTATCTATCTATTGTTATAATGAAACAGTCTGTAGTAGATTTGATTTCATGGAAAATTTGTCAATTACCTTTTTAAAGTTCAAGACTTCAAGTTAATATCAGTTGTAAAAGATAGATATCTAATGTCTTTGACAATTTATTGAATTTATATATTCTCGACTATATGCAAAACTTAACATTATATTCTTGCGTTTGGTTGATTTATAATAATACAATTATCAAATGACAAATCTAATGATAATAACAGTGTTGAGACAACATCTCTTTATGTCATGTTAGTTATAAAATATTTCAAGACAAAAGATGAAAATTCAATATTATTAACGATGATCATCCCACTACTCACCGCAAATTTGAACCGGGGCTAAGCCACGGCCTTTTGCATGTTCAAGTCGCTTCTGTCAGCTGGTATAGATACCTGAATACCTCTTAATTAGGTACCTAAGTACATATTTCAAGCAGACTACAATAAATATTATTATTATTATTATCAATGCTTTGAATATAATTTATTTACAAAATTACAATACATTTCATGATTTCTCTCTCCAAATTCTCATAAAGTATTTTTACGTATACTTGTTTAAAGGTACAAAATATGTAAATGTGAACACCAATATCAATTCATATAACATAGGTTACAGTATAATATTATTATTTATTTTAATTTTAAATACGGTCACGCTTTATCTGACCTACGGATACATTTGTCTATTTTTATTAGATACTATATGTCCCCGTAACTTCGTTGTCTATAAAAACATACTACATTCTAACTGCGTAGCCTCTATCAAATTTTTAAAATTTATTTCAACATTAACATTGATTGTCGGCACCGCTTCGCATCGCGCGCCCGCGTTATTACTCCATTTCACTTATTCTTCTTTCTGACTTTTTTATTTTTGCTCGACCCCTAAGGGTCGAAGTGTGATGTTAATAGCTTCATAATAACCTTCTTTAAGAATTGGGCTATCAAATGCAAAAATATTTTTTCAAATCCGTCTAGTAGTTTCAGCGTATATATTTATTCAAACAAACTTTAACTTTATTATATTTGTTTAGATTAAAAATTCATAAATTTAAATTAATAAATAAAAATCTAGTATATTATATAGCAATAAATGTTGTTTTGCCCATAAAGAATTTTTATATTTCATAAAGTTGACCTGTTAAAAGTTATATACACATATGGTCGCGAGTTCATGCAAAAATTCCACCCAAAAAAGATCTTTCAGCTTTTCAATTTTCCGGACAACATTTCAATTTTTCTGTCCATAAAAACTTACTTTGGATAATTAAGAACATTAAAAAAAAAATAGTTCATTTGGTTTATTCGCTTTCAAGTTATGATGTGCTTACCGACGAATAGTATTTAATTTATAATAATATGTATACAGATAAATATATAATTATTTCAAAATGTGTTGAAATTTGACTTAAAGACAAAAATAATTAGAATAGTGAATTATAGGTGTCATCATAGTTGTTGATTTTATTTGATTTTGGCTAGAGCTAAAATATTTTTACATAAAATGAGCCCATTATTAACATAAAAAAAATGGTTTGTATTTTAATTATGAGGAAGTTTTGAATAATGTTTTGGAAGGGGGCTAAGTTCCCCTATGTTAGGCACCAAATAATTATATTATATTATATATAGGTAGTTATTTATGAAGGTTTTTTAATGGCAATCATAATATAAAAATTTGTAATTCTAGTCTCTACACGTGATTAAAAATTATGAAAGTTCGCCGAGAGAACACTCGATTATAAAAAATTCAAAATTTGGACGGAATTAAATGGAAATAAATATTTTAAAATATATTAATTATTGAACAACCATAAAAAAGATAACTACTTAAGTGCAAAGGTCGTGCTTACTAATTTAGAATATTACTTAGTAATTATGACCGAAATGGTAGTACTTGTACATTTTTTAAAAGCTTTGGTAACTTTAGTAGATAAGGTACACATAGGTGCCATTAATAATTATTTATATCTTAATCATCAATTGTTTAATATTAATTTAAAAAAAACCAAAAGATTATATTTTGAGCGGGGAGATAAATATCGTATTGATTTTACAATTATTTGTTTTTTATGTGAAAACGATAAATATAGTAAAAAAAAATTCATCGGTTCTTAATGAGGGTGGTTTTTATTAGCAAATTAAATATATTTTTTACTTACATAAAGCGGTCAAAACGTATGTTATTATAAATATATACTGTGTGTAATCGGTTGTTGGAAACACTCTATAACTTAACAAATATTTAATATATTTGAATTCTGTTTGTTTGTGGTGCTTAACAAAGTTTTTTATAACTTATTAAAGCATTCAAACAATTTTTATGTCATATAATTTCGCGCATGCGCATAACATCTTTTTTTTTTTAAATGGCAATCCCACTATTTTTTGGCTAACTATTTTTACTCTTATTTTTTTTATGAATTTTAATGGTGAAACCAACTTCCTATGTTAAAAAATAGCCGAGTTATGGATACTTGAATGATTGATATTATTTTTTTGACATTTTTGAAATATTCATCAATTTCATGGCTTAAATTTTTAACACCTCATGATATCTTCTAGTGATATTTTTAGTACCTACTTTTGGGAAGGATCCTCTTCCCCTATAGCAACTAATTTTTTTTTTAAATTTGTCTCCTTAGGCGATTTAAAAAAAAAAAAAACATTGTTAATTAATTTTATTTTTATTAGTTGAAAATTAGGTACATTCAATTACTTTCATTATCTTATAAACTGTTCAAACTGCTCTCCATTATAATTTAAACATGCTTCTGTTCTTCGTAGAAATTCTTTATTTGTTGTAGATGAAATTTGCCCTTCAGTAAGTTGATTACACGCCGCAATTATTTTTTTGTTTCAAATCAATAAGATTAGTAGGTGGGTTTGCATAGACGACAGTTTTTAGATGTCCCCACAAAAAGTAATTAAGAGGTGTAAGATCCGGAGATCGAGGTGGCCATTTTATTATACCATTAGTTCCTATCCAACGATTTTCAAAATATTCATTTAAATAATTCTTCACGACAATTGCATTATGTGCCGGGGCTCCATCTTGTTGCAAGAGGAATGTCGTCTAGCATGATCGGTAGC